GACTCTGTGAGATGTCTGTAGGATGTTGACTCAGTGAGATATCTGTAGGATGTTGGCTCTTTGAGATGTATGTAGGATGTTGGCTCTGTGAGATATCTATAGGATGTTGGCTCTGTGGTATGTCTGTAGGATGTTGGCTCTGTGGTATGTCTGTAGGATGTTGGCTCTGTGGTATGTCTGAAGGATGATGATTCTGAGAGATATCTGTAATTTGTTGACTCTGAGATTTTTGTAGGATGTTGACTCTGTGGTATGTCTGTAGGATGTTGTCTCTGTGAGATATCTGTAGGATGTTGACTCCTTGGTATGTCTGTAGGATGTTGACTCTGAGAGATGTCTGTAGGTTGTTGACTCCGTGGTATGTCTGAAGGATGTTGGCTCTGTGTGATGTCTGTAGGATGTTGACTCTGTGAGACGTGTGTAGGATGTTGACTCTGTGGTATGTCTGTAGGATGTTGTCTCAGTGAGACCACTGTAGGATGTTGCCTCTGTGAGATGTCTGTAGGATGTTGTCTCTGTGAGATGTCTAGAACTTTGCCTCTGTGAGATATAGGTAGGATGTTGACTCTGTGAGATGTCTGTATGATGTTGACTCTGTGAGATGTCTGTAGGATGTTGACTCAGTGAGATATCTGTAGGATGTTGGCTCTGTAAGATGTCTGTAGGATGTTGACTCTGTGTGATATCTGTAGGATGTTGACTCTGTGAGATGTCTGTAGGATGTTGACTCTGTGAGATGTGTGTAGGATGTTGGCTCTGTGAGATATCTGTAGGATGTTGACTCTGTGCTATGTCTGTAGGATGTTGGCTCTGTGAGATGTCTGTAGGATGTTGATTCTGTGGGATATCTGTAAGATGTTGACTCTGTAAGATGTCTGTAGGATGTTGACTCTGTGGTATGTCTGTAGGATGTTGTCTCTGTTATGTTGATGTCTGTAGGATGTTGACTCTGTGATGTCTGTAGGATGTTGGCTCTCTGTGAGATGTTGACTCTGTGAGATGATGTTGCCTCTGTGAGATGTCTGTAGGATGTTGCCTCTGTGAGATGTCTGTAGGATGTTGCCTCTGTGGTATGTCTGTAGGATGTTGATTCTGTGAGATGTCTGTAAGATGTTGACTCTGTGAGATGTGTGTAGGATGTTGGCTCTGTGAGATATCTGTAGGATGTTGACTCTGTGCTATGTCTGTAGGATGTTGACTCTGTGAGATGATTTAGGATGTTTCCTCTGTGAGATGTAGGTAGGATGTTGGCTCTGTGAGATGTCTGTAGAATGTTGGCTCTGTGTATGTCTGAGGATGTTGACTCTGTGAGACGTGTGTAGGATGTTGGCTCTGTGATATATCTGTAGGATGTTGACTCTGTGCTATGTCTGTAGGATGTTGGCTCTGTGAGATGTAGGATGTAGGATGTTGTAGGATGTTGTGAGATATGTCTGTAGGATGTTGGCTCTGTGAGATGTCTGTAGGATGTCGCCTCTGTGGTATGTCTGTAGGATGTTGACTCTGTGAGATATCTGTAGGATGTTGACTCCTTGGTATGTTTGTAGGATGTTGGCTATGTGAGATATCTGTATGATGTTGACTCTGAGGTATGTCTGTAGGATGTTGGCTCTGTGGTATGTCTGTAGGATGTTGGCTCTGTGTGATGTCTGTAGGATGTTGACTCTGTGAGATGTCTGTAGGATGTTGGCTCTTTGGTATGTCTGAAGGATGTTTGCTCTGTGAGATATCCGTAGGATGTTGGCTCTGTCAGAAATCTGTAGGATGTTGGCTCTGTGGTATGTTTGTAGGATGTTGACTCTGTGGTATGTCTGTAGGAAGTTGTCTCTGTGAGTTGACTCTGTAATTTGTTGACTCTGTGTTTTGTTTGTAGGATGTTGACTCTGTGAGATATCTGTAGGATGTTGGCTCTGTGAGATGTCTGTAGGATGTTGATTCTGTGGGATATCTGTAAGATGTTGACTCTGTAAGATGTCTGTAGGATGTTGACTCTGTGTGATATCTGTAGGATGTTGACTCTGTGTGATATCTGTAGGATGTTGACTCTGTGAGATGTGTGGGATGTTACTCTGTATATGTCTGTAGGATGTTGCCTCTCTGAGATGTCTCTAGGATGTTGATTCTGTGAGATGTGTGTAGGATGTTGGCTCTGTGAGATATCTGTAGGATGCTGACTCTTTGCTATGTCTGTAGAATGTTGGCTCTGTGAGATGTCTGTAGGATGTTGACTCAGTGAGATGTCTGAAGGATGTTGACTCTCTGAGATATCTGTATGATGTTGACTCTGAGGTATGTCTGTAGGATGTTGGCTCTGTGGTATGTTTGTAGGATGTTGGCTATGTGAGATATCTGTATGATGTTGACTCTGAGGTATGTCTGTAGGATGTTGGCTCTGTGGTATGTCTGTAGGATGTTGGCTCTGTAAGATGTCTGTAGGATGTTGACTCTGTGTGATATCTGTAGGATGTTGACTCTGTGTGATATCTGTAGGATGTTGACTCTGTGAGATGTTTCCTCTGAGAGATGTAGGTAGGATGTTGACTCTGTGAGATATCTGTAGAATGTTGACTCTGTGCTATGTCTGTAGGATGTTGGCTCTGTGAGATGTCTGTAGGATGTTGATTCTGTGGGATATCTGTAAGATGTTGACTCTGTAAGATGTCTGTTGGATGTTGACTCTGTGTGATATCTGTAGGATGTTGACTCTGTGAGATGATTTAGGATGTTTCCTCTGTGAGATGTAGGTAGGATGTTGGCTCTGTGAGATATCTGTAGGATGTTGACTCCGTGATATGTCTGTAGAATGTTGACTCTGTGAGATGTCTGTAGGATGTTGACTCAGTGAGATATCTGTAGGATGTTGGCTCTGTGAGATGTCTGTAGGATGTTGACTCTGTGAGATGATTTAGGATGTTTCCTCTGTGAGATGTAGGTAGGATGTTGGCTCTGTGAGATGTCTGTAGGATGTTGACTCAGTGAGATATCTGTAGGATGTTGACTCTGAGGTATATCTGTAGGATGTTGGCTCTGTGGTATGTTTGTAGGATGTTGGCTCTGTGGTATGTCTGTAGGATGTTGGCTCTGTGAGATGTCTGTAGGATGTTGGCTCTGTGAGATGTGTGTAGGATGTTGGCTCTGTGAGATGTGTGTAGAATGTTGGCTCTGTGAGATGTGTGTAGGATGTTGGCTCTGTGAGATGTGTGTAGGATGTTGGCTATGTGAGATCTGTGTAGGATGTTGGCTCTGTGGTATGTTTGTAGGATGTTGGCTCTGTGTGTAGGATGTCTGTAGTCTGATGTTTGTGTGGGATATCTGTAAGATGTTGACTCTGTAAGATGTCTGTAGGATGTTGACTCTGTGTGATATCAGTAGGATGTTGACTCTGTGAGATGTGTGTAGGATTTTGACTCTGTGGTATGTCTGTAGGTTGTAGTCTCTGTGAGATGATTTAAGATGTTGGCTCTGTGAGATGTGTGTAGGATGTTGGCTCTGTGAGATGTCTGTATGATGTTGACTCTGAGAGATGTCTGTAGGTTGTTGACTCTGTGAGATGTCTGTAGGATGTTGACTCTGTGCTTTGTTTGTAGGATGTTGACTCAGTGAGATATCTGTAGGATGTTGGCTCTGTGTGATGTCTGTAGGATGTTGACTCTGTGAGACGTGTGTAGGATGTTGACTCTGTGGTATGTCTGTAGGATGTTGATTCTGTGAGATATCTGTAGGATGTTGACTCCTTGGTATGTTTGTAGGATGTTGGCTATGTGAGATATCTGTAGGATGTTGACTATGTGAGATATCTGCAGGATGTTGATTCTGTGAGATGTCTGTAAGATGTTGACTCTGTGAGATGTGTGTAGGATGAGATTTTTGTAGGATGTTGACTCTGTGGTATGTGTGTAGGATGTTGTCTCTGTGAGATGACTGTAGGATGTTGCCTCTGTGAGATGTGTGTAGGATGTTGACTCTGTGGTATGTCTGTAGGATGTTGTCTCAGTGAGAAGACTGTAGGATGTTGCCTCTGTGAGATGTCTCTAGGATGTTGACTCTGTGAGATGTGTGTGATATTTGTAGGATGCTGACTCTGTGAGATTATTTAGGATGTTTCCTCTGTGAGATGTGGGTAGGATGTTGGCTCTGTGAGATGTCTGTAGAATGTTGGCTCTGTGAGATATCATATTCGTCATATTCGTGAAACATATTACTGTAGGATGTTAAACGGCTCTGTAAATGGTGTAGGATGTTGGCTCATTTAAATGCTTTGAAGCAAAATTAAAAAGAAAAATCAACACGGATTTCTCTTGGTATGAAATATGACTCTCCAATAACTCCCTACAGGTCGTTGTATGGATGCATGCTTATACACCATTTAAAATCCAGTTGTCCAACTTCATGTCCGACAAGACTATAGAATATCTCCCCGTGATATCATTATAACGACCGTTTATGTCTTCTAAAGGAATGACATAATCAATATATGTATGTGAAATTGAAGGACTAAACAAGGTCTTTTTGACTTCTTTTGTAAGCTCATAGATAACATTCAGCCCTGCATGAAAGATAAACATTCCCATAGTTATGCCAATAGTCTGTTGGGAGATCCTCACTAAACGAACATATTGTCAACCAAAACCTTTTACGTTTTCGTGATCCTTATATCTTTTCTTTGATTTGGACTATTTTTCACGATTACGCTGCTATCGTATCAATAGAACGCGTTAGAGATGGGTGTGGTATAATGTACAGCATGCAAAAAATTCGAGTATAACTATTATCCTGTGTATCCTCTGTACGGAATGATCAACAAATCGTCCAATCAGTGTTTTACGGTTTTATTTGATATTATAATATATTATAGATGGTAACAGACCTGGATTTTAATCACGTATGAGGAAGATAAAGGACTCGGGAGTTATGGCCACTTTAAGTTAGAGTCTATACCAAACAGCCAACTTAGTCCAACTACACGGGCAACAGACATTATAATTGCCATAGCTACGTCGCTACTCATCGATGCCTGCAAAAACGTTTCCTTTTCTAAGCGACAGAGCGGCATTGACTACTGCATCAAAGGATCTGAGAGGTTTGGTTATTTTCTTAGCTTTTCCACTCGATTGTTTATTTAGTTCCTCCACCAGAAGACTCAGTTTCTTAGCCCTTTCCTGCTGAGGAGTCAGCACCTTGACCGGGATTTTAAAGTTCATTCGTTGTGCCTTCGGAGATGTAGTCGTATTCTCAGCTAAACTTTGCTTTTGAAGTTTTGTTCTACTTTCTCCGGCACTTTTTTTCAGGTTTGAGACGCTCATATGACTAGGCTTGACGACGCGTTTAGACATTTGTGATGTGCTGTGTTTTTCTAAGCCGGTTTTCTGTCCCCGTGGAATAGGATAGATAAGTCTCATGCCATGAACCATGGAGAAAGAGATCTTGAATCGGTCGTCATCGGGGACTGCAAAATAGTAAGAAAAATGTGACCGGTCAATATTTGATAGGTCTGTTAGCAAAGATTCAAATTTCTTTTCTTGTTTTCATATAGTCTGTTATAAGTAAAAGTACCAAGGAAACTCTGTAAACAAGTGTCTATCTATTAATTTATTAATGAAGTTATTCATGTTCTTCTGTTTTTAATTATGTAGATATGTGTTGTTTTATAACCAGCTGTTGATTATTTGTCTGTTGTTTATCCCGTTGCTGTGTGACATGTTGCAATATATTGCATGGATCTGTTACTGAAAGTGTTCCTGCTATTAGCCCTGTTGATGTATGCAGTTGTGTGATCTACTATTGGTTTATGTCTGTTGTTTACCCCATGGTTGTATGACTTACTATACACGGTCTGTGTTGTTACATCCACCTTGGAGTATCGTATATTGAAGAAAGGGGGTAAATCCTTGTCACTGTGAGGTGTCAACGAACGCTTGGGTTTGATCTGTGACTCTATCTTCGCCAGGACATCTTCAGGAGTCGTATTGGTCAACCAGGACTCGTGAAACCTAACACAACAGGCCGATAATTATACAAGGCAGGTAACCTTAAATCGTGCATACGTATCTCAATGGTAAAATCACTAGTATAGGTCATCAAATAGGATTTAGATTTGAAACAATGTAATTTCAAATTTAACTAAAGATATTTATTCCAAGGGCTTTTTATAACAGATTCGTCGTGTCTACTTTGACGTAACATTTAACACTAAAAGGATGGTAATGGGACAAAATGCTTGTTCTTGCGGAGGAAACACGCGGTTGTTTATAAATAACTGATTTTACATTAAATGAAATTGGAGGGAGAGAAGACGTTAAGAAACGAAACAACGATGTAAGCATTGAACCGTTTATTATTTTAAATGCTGCATATCATACTGTGAAGATGACATAACGTTTTGTTGTTGACATGTGTCCTTTATGTAGATTGTAAATGCTACAACAGTGATTAATATAAATCCATTTACCATTCTCGTTGTATAACCAAAACTTGTAGGCTGAAGTGGTCATGCTATTAATGAAATGGACTTGTATGTTTTGTGAAATTAATTAAATATACTATCCTTTCATTTATTAATGTTGTATATTATACGATAGCCGTGAAATGGGCTATTCTTTCAGCTTTTAATGTTGTTTGTTACAAGAAAGCCGGGAAATGGATTATTCTTTCATCTATTAATGTTGTTTGTTACAAGAAAGCCGTGAAATGGGTTATTCTTTTAGCTTTTATTGTTGTATGTTTCCTTTACATCATGAAATGATCAAGCGTTTTGTCCAATAAGGTAATGTGTTTAATGGAATTTATGAAATTGACCATTCTTTACTCTATTGATGTAGTGTGGGACATGGAATTGGTGAAACTGACCATTCTTTACTCTATTGATGTGGTGTGGGACATGGAATTTATGAAATTGACCATTCTTTACTCTATTGATGTAGTGTAGGACATGGAATTGGTGAAACTGACCATTCTTTACTCTATTGATGTGGTGTGGGACAAGGAATTTGTGAAATGGACTACTCTTTACTCTATTGATTTGGTGTGGGACATGGAATTTGTGAAATGGACTACTTTTTACTCGATATATGTGGTACGGGACATGAATTTATGAAATGGACTATTCCTTTCGCTATGAATGTTTATGTTTCACGGAAATTATGCAATGAACTATTTGTGTTTTTTCTATTGATGTTGTATGTTTCAAGGAAGTCAGGAAATGCGCTATTCTCTTTATTTTTATTTATTTTTTTTTTATATCTATCTTTTGAGATTTCATTCTACACTCAAATATAACAAAAAAGAGAACTTATAAATTTTGATGGATTGAGTGACAAACTAATACAAATTTAATATTTCCATTTTGTGGACATTTTCACGTACATCCTTCGCCTGTATTTCCAGTATAGATACTCTACCTTTTCCAAAAGTAGTACAAAATTGGGAAAAGAAGGATAATTGCATCGTGGAACAGCCCCCGCACAGGCCCCGCAGAGTTTAGACTGTTTCCAATACTGTGTCCTAGCTCATTAGGAATGTTTATCTGGAAACAAATCGGCAAAATAGGTATTAGAACATTAAAAAGGTCGTTGTTATTGTAACGACGTCAGCAATTTCGAGATCAAGTTTCCTGTACTGATGTTAATGTATATAGATAAGGAAACGATTTAAACCCATGTACCAGGTGTGTGTAAGTTTCGCATATGTGTGTTATGAGATGTTTGATTTTTTCCTGTACTACCCCGTGCAGAGTTTTCTCTCGGATAGAATGACAGAAAAAACAAGATGATGCCTATACACCTCCTCCATCCGTCCTGCATGTTGGCGGGGAGGGGTGGAATTTGAAAAGCACAAAGATAAAGAAAAACAATTAGAAGATTGGACATTATACATGCATTCCCCATTACCACATTCAATGATTAAATTTCTGATGGAACTCTTAATCTCATCATCAGTTTCGTAAAAGTTCTTGATGTGTCCCGTTTTTGTCTGTTTATAGTATTTGCCTGGCGCTATATTATCCCATTTCTCTGGAGTTGTTTTTAAATCCTATACATGATTATCAAAATGCACACGCTTTGGTTGCGCGTCAGTTTATCTATCATAACTTCAACATAAAGTATTTTGGGATTAGAAACAGACCTAAGATTTACATTTGACAACTTCACAGTGATCTTTTCCACCAACCATAATATAACATATGCAACAACAAAAAATTAAGTACCGGTTATCTTTTATTGTCTAGAGACAATTTTCTTCCCAGAAAGGTGTCGAAAGGATGTTTGACACGGATCTGTGTAAATATACATGTCAAACGTTTAAGTGAATTTGCTTAAGGACAATGATATTTTGAAGTTATTAAGTAATTAAGAACAGTAGCAAAACTATAGCGACGGTCGGGAAACCAGGATCATTGATTTTTTTCCTAACATGTTTTTTATGACATCAACATTTTACATCTTTCTTTTTATCCTTGTCATTCCGGATGTGACGTATATGTATGATAAACAATGTATGATGACTTCTTACCTGAACACGTGGTAAGATGTCTGACACTAGAAAACTCTCGATAATGGCTCTAGCCTTCACCACTAGAAGATCTGAGTCACTCTTGGAGATATTTTCCAAGGTCTTCAGTGTCTCTACCTGTTTCCTGTACCTACAATACAATATCCTAGTGTATTTAACCTGACGCTTGTACATACAGCTTCAGCACTGATCTCGCATATTCGTCAAAATTTACTTCAAACTTGAGTCATGAACAAAAATCACCAGCAATCATTAAACATTTTGATGAAACAATATTCTCCTTCAATGTCACAGGTACAAGAACTAATGGTCGGTATGATGATGTTACTTACTTTTCGACTTCTATCCAGAAGAGTAGATCATTTCCCAGTTTATTAATGATAACCAGTCGGTTTCGCATCACTACCCTTGTCTGGACTTCCATAGAGCTGGACGTCATCAGAGACTTCTCCAAAGCACCTATAACACGGTAGATATGACTCTCAGACGTCCAGGAGTATGGTGAAAATGTTAATCATTTGGGTTAGGGATTATGCACCAATCCCCTAGGATATAGGAAACTGGGTACTTTTATTGTCTTCCAGTGCAACATCGGTAAGAATACCTAACAGTTAAAAGCTTTCACATATGTTTGTTGACGTAATTGAACAAGAGGCCCATGTCTTTATCTCATTAACAATTTCTTTCAATTATCAGTTCAATGGCACCATTGGAGCTTGAGAAATTTAAAGTGTTTTTAAAGCTTGTCTCCCTGGCGGTCGTATTGCAATTTGGACTAATCCGAAAAATGACAACACTTGTTCAGGATTATCTCGGGCAACTTTTAGCTATATATCACTAGTGGAACTTCAGAAGGAGTGTAAATCAGGTGTTGAAAGCCATGATTTCACATTCATTTTACAACCGGACTGTAACAAAGACTAATTCCAATTTGGTTTCCTATTCTAATAGTTCCATTAACCACTGTTTACCGAAATATTTAACAACGAATGGAATTCGGTTGTTAACATGGGACGTACCCTTTATTTCTATGGAGCGCGAAAATTGTACATTTACGTTTATCAAGTTGTTAACAACTAATGAAACACTTTTCAGTTGTAACCAACATGTACGGGTGTTCCAGTTATCATGTTTTTCTCCTTGTACTTTTTCATGTGTTTCCGTGTAAATCTTTCTTTTTGTTCATATTTTGCCCTAGTTTTATTGAATTTGAGTTTGGATTATGATTATGTTGACATGTTGGTATTTTCTTGTTTTTCATACTATATTTTCTTAGATTTAACAGAGTGTATGCTAATGTTCACCAACGGGACATACGTTAGTCATGTAAACTCACGTGACTCAGATATTCATCACAGACTATTCAACAGCAGAACATGATGAACTGTTATGAACGTTGATCGAGGGGAAACAGAAAACGAATTTTGAGTGTTATATTTGGTATGTAATTTACCAAAACTTACTCGTTGGAGCCTCCTGGTCTCGATCAGTTTCATATTTCAAGTAGATCTCAAACAATCGACGTTCTTTCGGATCCTTAATAGCCCTCAGGAAATCCAAAATGGCGTTCGAAAAACCATGCCACAGGTTCATCTGAATAGGTATAAAAAGACAGATGGCAAGTTAATCCAGGAAATGTAGGATCGTCCATTAAACACAGAAACAACAAGACAGATGGCAAGTTAATCTAGGAAATGTAGGATCGTCCTTTAAACACACAAACGACAAGACAGATGGCAAGTTAATCTAGGAAATGTAAGATCGTCCTTTAAACACACAAACGACAAGACAGATGGCAAGTCAATCTAGGAAATGTAGGATCGTCCTTTAAACACACAAACGACAAGACAGATGGCAAGTTAATCTAGGAAATGTAAGATCGTCCTTTAAACACACAAACGACAAGACAGATGGCAAGTTATTCTAGGAAATGTAGGATCGTCCTTTAAACACAAACAATAAGACAGATGGCAAGTTAATCTAGGAAATGTACACACAAACCAGAATTGAAGTTCTTATAGTGGAACTAACTACCCACTGAAGAAAAACCTTAGACATTTGACATCTAAATCCACACGCTTTAATGAACTGTGTTTAAACTATACATCTACAAAAGCCAAATAACTACATTTTTCACGTTTCAACAATAAGAAATTTAGACTCCCGGAGGGCATATTTGTTATGAAATTAGAATAAGATATTAAGATATTGACTACCGTCATATGAAACAGGATACTTTAGGGGCTCAAGCAACTAAATTAATCACTTTCTGTTATTATTTGGCATGTAAGCTATAAACTTTTTTTTTGTAATTCATATTTTTTATTTCTTTTGATTCACACCTAATCAATTTGTTACAAATTTGAAAAATAACAACTTATATCCACAGATATAATATTTCTAGTTACAGATGTTTGTATAGTATAACGAAATGTTATTGATTTAATAAATTGTCCATTGGTTGCCATTTTTGGATTATTTCAGGAAACTTATTTGAGCTGTTGTGGCCCAATTGAGTATAAGCAAGTCGTTGTTTCTTTTCATTTCTTCTTTTATTAGGTACAAGCAGAGTCTGACATGGTTTGTGAGAGATGGTGTTCCTTTCTCCAGCGCTCCCCGGCCTTCTCTCGCTAACCCCAATATCTGTCGTCTATTTATCCCCACTGCCGAAATGACCGTTGATCAAACCCCACTTAACCTATGTATCTTGAATCATGAATCTACGCTGATGTTAGCTAAATTATTGCTGACCATCCGTAAATCAATACATACTAACATTATATAGGAATAGGTACATAGATGATACATATATAGAAATAGGAACACATACAATTGTATATACTGCGTAATTAAATGTGATGAAATCTTCCTGGTCAGTTTGTAAGCTAATCCTACTTCACCTACTTATAGTGTTCAATGTCTTGCCACATCAGCATAAATCGTATTAACTAAAGATACACATTAGGTCTGATAATAATATTTAGATCAACGGTACATTTATAATTTGAATGAAACCAAAGATTGGTTTTATTTTTTGTTCTATTTTTTCATAATTAGCTGGAACACCATTTTCCCATAAGCCATCTGGTTACACTGTAATACCTGTCTGAAGTTATTTCAATTTCTCTGTTACGTTTTAAAAACGATAACAAACCTGTTATTGAAGGAAGAGAAAAGTTACATTTACATATATATATATGTAGCGTCTTATCATCAGAAAAAACAATTAAGCAAATTATTATTATTATTGATTTTACATCCAAACATGGCATCCATTTTGTCAATTTCATATTCAATGTTACATTTCACCTTGATTAAATCTGAAAGTTTCCTCCAAATAACATTTACGTGAATGCATTGCCACATTAGATGATACAAATCTTCATCTTCATAATTACCATGGTACAATTCTTGTTATCATTTATGGCGAATTTATATAAAAGTGTACTAGTACAAAATGTTCTATGAAAAATTTTGAATTGAAAATTTCTTAGATTTACATCTTGTGTACAACTCCTTGGTATCAAATACGTATATTTCCAATCTATTTCTAGGTTTTGCAGATCTTCAGACTACTTTTCAATTGCTCTTTGATTTATAGAAAGAACAGGGGAACAAAATTTTGAATAGAAATTTCTAGTAGGTTTGACAAGAGATTTTATAAGTCTAATATTATCAGTTTCTCGCACCGTATTGTTACCATGGCGACTGATTGAACTTTTCCATGCACCCGGAATGGCGGAAATAATGCCATAAAACTGTATCTTTTGACTTTGTGGTATATTAAAGCGTTCTTGTAAATTCTGAAAAGTCATCACCTTACCATCATTTAGAATAAGATCTGCTGTCTGGTTGATGCCACTATCTTGCCATGACTGGAAATATACTGGTTTGTTACCTATTTTTATATTATGATTAAACCATATTGGTTGGGACAAAAATACTCTGCATCCTGCTGTTCCAAATTTTGTTCACTCCAAGCCAAAGATACTTCTTTCCAGAAAAGATTAAATTTGTTAGTGATTTTAAGCATATCATGTTTTACAAATGAGAGAATGTTTATATTCCCATATTCATCCAATTGATATAACAGAAGTTTCCAAGGGGATGTGTTTTGAGGATCAATTGATTTCTTGATCCAGGTCGTTTTCAAAGATTTAATGACACTTTCAATATCAATCATATTAAGACCACCATTCTCATAACTGTTTCTTAGTGTTCCTCTCCTGATTTTATCTTTTTTGTCGTTCCATATAAAGTTAAAGCATATCTGTTCTACTTGTCGGAGTATGTGAAAGGGAGGCTTTTTTTTAAAACTGTAAATGACTGCACATGTATTGGAATTGCCAGTGGTTTGATAACAGTGATTTTTCCACTCAGGGTAAGATTTCTAAAAGACCAGTTCTTTAGAACTCGCTTGACTTCCATTAATTTTTCTTCATAATTTACAAAGGTTGTATCCATTTTACTCAGGTCATATTTGATACCAAGAACTTTAAACTTTCCAACTAAATTCCATTTTAAACCTCTTTGAGTAAGCAATTTTTCCTGACTGCCCTTTCTGCTGCCTATCCAAATAGCTTCGGTTTTGTTATAATTGGCTTTCAAGCCAGCACAATTTCCAAAAGAATCTAAAATATCTAAAGCTGATTTTAAAGAAATTTCTTCATCTTTTAGACATATTGCAGAGTCGTCAGCGTATTGACTCGAAAGGCTCTCTGTATCACCTATTTTAATACCCTTTATATCTGGTGAAAATTTTAAAGCTGAACTTAAAACCTCTATTACAATAATGAATAGATACGGAGAGAGGGGATCTCCTTGACGGACTCCTCTTTTGATAGGGAAAAAATTTGAACAGAATCCATTGTTGATGACGCAGCTAGTGACGTCATTGTACAGAAGTTTTACCCACGACTTTATAGTTTGACCAAAGCCAAAGAAATCAAGAGTTTTATGAAAAAAACTTCCATTCCACTGTATCGAAAGCCTTTTCGAAATCTATTAATAATAAAATTCCTGGAATATTTTTTTTCATTTGTTTTCTCAATTAGATCATAAATCAGTCGCGTGCATTCGCTAATGTATCTGCCTTTCAAAAATCCTTTCTGAGTATCTCTAATAATATTGTTAAGTACACGCTTTAATCTATTTGCTAATACAGAAGTTATGATTTTATAATCAACGTTTAACAACGAAATTGGGCGCCAGTTTTTTAGAAACTCTTTTTGTTTGTTTGGCCTTGGTAGACAGGTTATTACCCCTTGTTTTTGTGTAACTGATAGTTGTTTATTTTCAAAACCATACTTAATTGAATTAACGATAATATATTTAAGATCTTTCCAGAAGAATTTATAGAATTCAACTGTGAATCCATCTAAACCTGGAGACTTGCAATTTTTCATACTGAATAGAGCCTTTGCACATTCTGTTTCCGTGACGTCACTATCACAAAGCGTTTTTTCTTCATTAGAAAGTTTACAGATAAAAGGATTGTCATTACAGAAGAACATATTTGTTTGTTCATCAGTTATAACAGGATTTGTTGAATTATATATTTTTTGTAAAAAAGTTTTTGCTCTCCTAAAATATCATCAGTATTATGTATTTCTGAACCATCATCACGAACAAGCTTTGGAATTATTTTTTCTGTAAAATTTCTTTTTTCCAGATGACAAAAATATTTCGTACATTTTTCACCTTCCATGTTCCACCTAGCTTTTGCTCTGACCATCAGTCCTCGTACCCTTTCCTCTCTCAAATTGTGAAGTTCATTTTCTTTTGTTTCCAAAATTGTAGATATTTCTTGATTTTCAAAATTGAACGAATTTCGCTGCAATTCTAAAATTTCTGATTCTAGTTTCGAAGCTGTTTCGTTCTTTCGCTTATTTTTCCAACTAGCATAGGAAATGGTTTTCCTCTAATTGAAAGCTTAATGACTTCCCAAAGCAGCTGATAATTTATTGTAAAAGGTATATTATCTAAATTATTGTCTACTATATCATCAATTGCATAATCATTAAATACCTCATAAATAACAGTTTTAACATTATCGGTATATGTTTTGTCATAAAGCAATGAATTATTGAACTTCCAGGTCCCTCGTCCTCTTGGATGATCATATAATTTTAATTTAATTATAACAGGTGCATGGTCCGATATAAATTTTAGAACTATGTCAGAGGAAATGATACAGGACTGAAGGTCAGACGATATAAGAAAATAGTCAAGGCGGCTGCCTTTTCCACCTGGTCCAAACCAGCTATATCTTTTCAAATCAGGGTGTTGTAGACTCCATATATCAATTAAATCTAACTCATTCATTATATCAATGATAGCTGCCTTAGCGTTTTTGTTATTTTCCCTATTATACTTACATGTATATTTTTCAAACGACATGACTGCATTAAAATCTCCAGTAATGATTACAGAATCGTTATCAAATAGATCAATAGTTCTTTCCAGACCGTGGAAAAATTCAGGAGAGTCAGAATTTGGCTCGTATATACATGCAAGAGTCAATCTCTGATTCTGAATAGTAATATCCAAAATGATGAAGTTACCATCCTCGTCATTCAACTTTTTACAAATAGTGTATTCAGAACTATTTTTAAATAATATAGCAATACCACGAACGTTACCTGAATAGGAGCAAAAGAGACAGTCAAGACCCCACTCATGCTTCCATAGCCTTTCTACAGACGTCTTAGAATGTGTATCAACTAATATAGAAATATCATAGTTCCTATTTCTACACAAATCAAAAATATCTCTCCGTTTAAGGCATTCTGATAAACCTCGACAGTTCATACAAGCTATAGTTAGTTCACCCATTTTCAACAGTCAAATTGATCAGATAAAAAATGACAATATTTTCGACAACTATTAGAAAAACATCATGTATCAGCAAATATGTATAAGTTTGTTGTATATATATAGAAGTACACATGATTTGTGTGAACCATAGAAATTATAATCCCCATTTATCCCTACCCTGCAGATATATTTTCCCATCCCAAAAACCCATATAATCCACAGTATGTAAATTGAAAAGTAATCATTACAATGGAGGTAGACCAACAATGACATAACCCCCAGCAGATAACCATAGTATTAGTTGCTTCCTGCATAATTTCTTTTAAACAACAATAAACTCATATTTACAGAAAAAAAAGTAACACGCTCAATCTTTTATGACATTTTGTTTCATGAAATGCACATACGCACGACCCTTCAAAAAATAGCACCCGTTTGTTGTAAAGGAAAACTGAGTTTTGAAGTGCTTGAGCACTGCGAACTCGATGGCCCAAAAAAAAACTATTTCTAAAGGCACTATTTATAAATTTACGTATTCGCATACTTTGTACCATTCTAATCATAAACAGTATATATAGATCAGTAAACTATAAACTTAATGATTGAAGATTGGTAGATACATACCTGGAAAAGGATTCAGATAACATAAGCTGGTTAAATGTCTTCTCGGATTGTCATCGCTTTTAGCAATCAACAAACGGAAATTTACAAGTGAAACTAAACTCCCACTTTTATATATAATATATACCTATATGAATCCGTTAAAAAAAATCACAGTGTTTTAAATCTATATATGTTCATAAAGCAAAATACCTGCAGATACTTTTCACATGTTACTAGTTTGCACGTGTTGTATGCTCGTTCGTTGGTTCCATTGTTGTAAACCTTGTTCTCACTTGAGAAAGTGACATTACTTACATAGATTGACAAAGATTTACATGACGGGCGCTGTCAGTGAAGACTCTGACTTTTCCGATCTCATTCTCCTCCTGCTTTTCCAGGAGTTTCCATTTAACTCTTTCTTTTGTTTATAGTTTGACCTAGTTTTATTGAATTAAAGTTTGGATTATGATAAGGTCGGCATGCGGTATTTTGTTGATTTTTTATACCCATTTATGTATGTGTACCGCTTATTTGAAATCATAATAAAATCGGTTTATAAATGTGGTCTAACGATGAAAATATCATGACATGAAATATTACCATAACTATGAGCAAAATGGCAGAATTTATTATTCTAAAATATGGGATTCTTAGTTTCTGGAACAGCTGTTATCCAATTACCTGACAACTTTACCATAAAATGTCGTCATCAAATAGATATGTTCATGAAAGACATTGAAGTGTAACATTCACACAACTTTACAATAATACAGATGTTAGGAACCATATGATTATGTTTTTGTTGTTTAGAATCATTTTTCATGGTTCGGCCAGATTTAAGGGGTGCTGATTGACGTGACGCCTTTCATTATTTACAGATATCTTAACCAAAATGTCTCTTTGCTTAAGATAAAATACATACACAACGGTTTGACGCACATTGATGCATTCATTAATCATGTCATTAATTTACAAGTAGCTTAAATTGGGAAATCGTTCAGTGTTTAAACCAGCTCTAAATCAGCCACACAGGCCAACGTTTTGATTCATGAAGTGCACTGCATGAATGCAAAAACTCTTATTTTAGAAAATTTAGCACAAGTGTCACATGTTTATGCATTTATTCTAAACAAGTGATGACACTGATGATGGTTTTTTTTCGTTCTGTCCTAAAATATGCAATAACAAGAGTGCCGTGGACACAATATACACCGCCACAAAATTAGCAACAGAGAAAAAGTTGAAAATGTCATAAATCTTACGTGAAAATCTGATGATTATTTTAGGAGGAGTTGCATTCACAAGGAATGGACGTACGGACGGACAGACGGAGAAAATGACGCCAATATACACCGCATCCAGCGGCGTATAAAAACCAATATCTTTCACATGTATGTTTCTAGCAATATTAATGGTGTAGTAAAATATATTGAATATTTTTTTGTAAACTGAATTATACAAGACCTAAGTTTGTAATATTGTTATTTATCCCATGTTCATCATTATTGAACAGCTTACATATTATATCTCAAGGTTGATACAATAAGCAATTATATTGTCTTTGTACTCTATTTTATTCAAAGCTGAAATGATGTTTATTTGTTTAGTTATTGTCAGTCTATGATAATGTATGGGAGTTTAAAGGTTAAAAAGGCAAAACACGTTCATACCGTCTTTTTTCTTCGCATACGTCTTGGTTTCCCAATTTTCGGATCGAAGTCCTTCATCTGGTAGATATTTGCACGTGGGGGATAACTCTCGTTCATAGACTCGCGATACTCTGCGTCAGTGGGGTAAGTCTCCAAGTATCGAGGGTACCTGACAGTAACACAAGTAAAAACGTATCTGCAAAACATACATCTACCAGTACATCAGGTCAGCTCTCTACTAACATGTCTTTAAGGTGAGCATTCATCTTGTAAGGAAGAAGAGTGAAATGTAAACATAAATCAAACCATGTACACCATACAACCACTGAAGATACACTTCAATGTGTTTTCTGTAAGAATAACCTCTCTGTATATATGCCTTATCGAGAAGATACATTATTAGTAAAACCTCCTTGTATATATACTGGATCGAGACAATAAATTATGAGTAAAGCTTTCCTATATAGACACTGGATCGAGACAATAAATTATGAGTAAAACTTTCCTATATAGACACTGGATCGAGACAATAAATTATGAGTAAAGCTTTCCTATATAGACACTGGATCGAGACAATAAATTATGAGTAAAGCTTTCTATATAGACACTGGATCGAGACAATAAATTATGAGTAAAACTTTCCTATATAGAAACTGGATCGAGACAGTACCTTGTATTATCTCCTTGTTTATATACTGTATCGAGATTTTGCATTTTAGCATGTACTGGATCAAGACACGTGGCTTCCTTGCAAACAAAGGGGTATGGTTTTTGGTGGAACATACCATTTTCTCTCCATTGACCGGAAGACACTAGCCTGAGCGCACACCATCACACTTGCTGGGACTTTTTCCATTGTTGGGATTTGTCTGATGATGTCATCGCTACAGTCGAGCAGGTAACCTGTCAATAAATGTAACATTATTATGTATACTTGTCTTATGTGGCGTGCTGTGGTGCAATAGGGCATATACATCATTATAACGTATCCTTACCAGGAGAGTGTATTCTCAGCCCTGCCATGGCCTTCGGTCTTTCGTCACTTTCTATGTGTTTAATTATGATAGGTGGTCGTAGTATCCTCGACATTATCTTACTTGTACTATATTTATCATTAAAACACCGTGCCACAAAAGGAAATAAAATATCAAGCCGTAAAGGTGTTACAGCCAAGTTGTAAATTTCTATTTTAAACTAATACATAACGATCGGGAACTACCTCAAAGTCTCACGTCGATCGGTCTTCCATCTCTGGTATCTGGTGGTAAAGCGTTTAGGTGAGTAACCATTTACCTTGTTTAGCACCCCTGCTGAAAAATCGTTTGAATATCTGCAAAACCAGCAGCTGGCGTCCACGTGCAGTCTGTGTTTCCTTGAGTTCCTCGACGGCTGACCAGAACGAAAGAGGATGTCCCATCTTGTTTGACACCATGAAACGTTTGAAGAAGTCATAGTGAACTGGATTATTGAGAACTTCCATGAATGTCCTGTTAAAAGAGAGAGGTGTATGTCTTTAAGAAAGTGTGGTGCAGGATAGTGAACTCTATAAGTGACAATACCGATCAAAGATTTCAATTTAGGACGGCTGATTGAGACAATATGAGCCTTGTATTGAAGAGGTTAAGCAGCGAAGTCTTACTTCACATCTACTGTTACATCACTATTTAAAACTGTATACCCGAAGGCTGGCGTCATTTGATCATTTTATGTCGGAAAGGTAGCACTCTAAAGTAAACAAGGCATGGTTCCTACATCAATGCATGCAAACACATAAATGTTTTTTGTGTTTGTTTAATAGTATCAGAGAAAACTCTGATTTGTTAATGTTCAATATTCGACTTTCTATTTACTGTTTCTTCTGAAAACAAGCACTCTGTATTGTAGTTCAACATTAACTATTCTTTTTGTGACAGTATCGTTCAAAGTCTTTATATTATAGAATCGTCCCAAGCCTTTCTATGACAGTATCGTTCCAAGTCTTTCTATGACAGTATCGTTCCAAGTCTTTCTATGACAGTATCGTTCCAAGTCTTTCTATGACAGTATCGTTCCAAGTCTTTCTATGACAGTATCGTTCCAAGTCTTTCTATGACAGTATCGTTCCAAGTCTTTTTGACAGTATTTCCAAAGTCTTTCTATTGAGAATCGTTCCAAGTCTTTCTATGACAGTATCGTTCCAAGTCTTTTTGTGACAGTATCGTTCCAAGTCTTTATATTATAGAATCGTTCCAAGTCTTTCTATGACAGTATCGTTCCAAGTCTTTCTATGACAGTATCGTTTCAAGTCTTTCTATGATAGTTCCGTTCCAAGTCTTTTTGTGACAGTATCGTTCAAAGTTTTTATATTATAGCATCGTCCCAAGTCTTTCTATTACAGAATCGTCCCAAGCCTTTCTATGACAGTATCGTTCCAAGTCTTTCTATGACAGTATCGTTCCAAGTCTTTCTATGACAGTAGCTTCCCAAGTATTTCTATGACAGTATCGTTCCAAGTATTTCTATGACAGTATCGTTCCAAGTATTTCTATGACAGTATCGTTCCAAGACTTTCTATGACATTATCGTTCCAAGTCTTTTGATGACAATATCGTTCCAAGTATTTCTATAACAGTATCGTTCCAAGTCTTTCTTTGACAGTATCGTTCCCAGTCTTTTTATGACAGTATTGTTCCAAGTCTTTCTATGACAGTATCGTTCCAAGTCTTTCTATGACAGTATCGTTCCAAGTATTTCTATGACAGTATCTTTCCAAGTCTTTCTATGACAGTATCGTTCCAAGTCTTTTTGTGACAGTATCGTTCCAAGTCTTTATATTATAGAATCGTCCCAAGCCTTTCTATGACAGTATCGTTCCAAGTCTTTCTATGACAGTATCGTTCCAAGTATTTCTATGACAGTATCTTTCCAAGTCTTTCTATGACAGTATCGTTCCAAGTCTTTCTATGACAGTATCGTTCCAAGTATTTTTGTGACAGTATCGTTCCAAGTATTTCTATGACAGTATCGTTCCAAGTCTTTCTATCACAGTATCGTTCCAAGTCTTTTTGTGACAGTATCGTTCCAAGTCTTTCTATGATAGTATCGTTCCAAGTTTTTTGTATGACAGTATCGTTCCGAGTCTTTCGATGATAGTATCGTTCCCAGTCTTTCTATGACAGTATCGTTCCCAGTCTTTCTATTACAGTTCCGTTTGAACTCTTTTTGTGACAGTATCGTTCCAAGTCTTTCGATGACAGTATCGTTCCAAGTCTTTCTATGACAGTATCGTTCCAAGTCTTTCTATGACAGTATCGTTCCAAATCTTTCTATGACAGTTCCGTTCTAAGTCTTTTTGTGACGGTATCGTTCAAAGTTTTTATATTATAGCATCGTCACAAGTCTTTCTCTTATAGAATCGTCCCAATCCTTTCTATGACAGTATCGTTCCAAGTATTTCTATGACAGTATCGTTCCAAGTATTTCTATGACAGTATCGTTCCAAGTCTTTCTATGACAGTATCGTTCCAAGTCTTTCTATGACAGTATCGTCCCAAGTATTTCTATGACAGTATCGTTCCAAGTATTTCTATGACAGTATCATTCCAAGTCTTTTTGTGACAGTATCGTTCCAAGTCTTTCTATGGCAGCATCGTTCCAAGGATTTCTGTGGCAGTATCTTTCCAATTCTTTCTATGCCAGCATCGTTCCAAGGATTTCTATGACAGTATCGTTCCAAGTATTTCTATGACAGTATCGTTCCAAGACTTTCTATCGTTCCTTTCTATGACAGTATCGTTCCAAGTCTTTTTGTGACAGTATCGTTCCAAGTCTTTCTATGACAGTATCGTTCCAAGTCTTTTTGTGACAGTATCGTTCCAAGTCTTTCTATGACAGTATCGTTCCAATTCTTTCTATGACAGTATCGTTCCAAATCTTTCTATGACAGTATCGTTCCAAGTCTTTCTATGACAGTATCGTTCCAAGTCTTTCTATGACAGTATCGTTCCAAGTCTTTCTATGACAGTATCGTTCCAAGTCTTTCTATGACAGTATCGTTCCAAGTCTTTTTGTGACAGTATCGTTCCAAGTCTTTCGATGAAAGTATCGTTCCAAGTCTTTCTAAGACAGTATCGTTCCAAGTCTTTTTGTGACAGTAGTCTTTCTATGACAGTATCGTTCCAAGTCTTTCTATCACATTATCGTTCCCAGTCTTTTGATGACAGTATTGTTCCAAGTCTTTCTATGGCAGTATCGTTTCAAGTCTTTCTATGACAGTATCGTTCCAATTCTTTCTATGACAGTATCGTTCCAAGTCTTTTTGTGACAGTATTGTTCCAAGTCTTGCTATGACAGTATCGTTCCAAGTCTTTCTATGACAGTATCGTTCCAAGTCTTTCTATGACAGTATCGTTCCAAGTCTTTCTATGACAGTATCGTTCCAAGTCTTTCGATGAAAGTATCGTTCCAAGTCTTTCTAAGACAGTATCGTTCCAAGTCTTTTGGTGATAGTATCGTTCCAAGTCTTTTCATTATAGAATCGTCCCAAGCAATTCTATAACAGTATCGTTCCAAGTCTTTCTATGACAGTATCGTTCCAAGTCTTTCTATGATAGTATCGTTCCAAGTTTTTTGTATGACAGTATCGTCCCATGTATTTCTATGACAGTATCGTTCCAAGTCTTTCTATGACAGTATCGTTCCAAGTATTTCTATGACGGTATCGTTCCAAGTCTTTTCTATGACAGTATCGTTCCAAGTCTTTCTATGACAGTATCGTTCCAAGTGACTTTTCGTTATGACAGTATCGTTCCAAGTCTTTCTATGACAGTATCGTTCCAAGTCTTTCTATGACAGTATCGTTCCAAGTCTTTCTATGACAGTATCGTTCCAAGTCTTTCTATGGCAGTATCTTTCCAATTCTTCCTATGACAGTATTGTTCCAAGTATTTCTATGACGGTATCGTTCCAAGTCTTTATATTATAGAATCGTCCCAAGCCTTTCTATGACAGTATCGTTCCAAGTCTTTCTATGACAGTATCGTTCCAAGTCTTTCTATGACAGTATCGTTCCAAGTCTTTTTGTGACAGTATCGTTCAAAGTCTTTATATTCTAGCATCGTCCCAAGTCTTTCTATGACAGTATCTGCCTATGACAGTATCGTTCCAAGTCTTTTTGTGACAGTATCGTTCCAAGTCTTTTTTACAGACATTTATCAGTATCGTTCCAAGTCTTTCTATGACAGTATCGTTCCAAGTCTTTCTATGACAGTATCGTTCCAAGTCAGTATTTCGTTCCAAGTCTTTCTATGATAGTATCGTTCCAAGTCTTTCTATGACAGTATCGTCCCAAGTCTTTCTATGACAGTATCGTTCCAAGTCTTTTTGTGACAGTATCGTTCCAAGTATTTCTATGACAGTATCGTTCCAAATCTTTCTATGACACTATCGTTCCAAGTCTTCCTATGACAGTAGCTTCCCAAGTATTTCTATGACAGTATCGTTCCAAGTTTTTTGTATGACAGTATCGTCCCATGTATTTCTATGACAGTATCGTTCCAAGTCTTTCTATGACAGTATCATTCCAAGTCTTTTTGTGACAGTATCGTTCCAAGTTTTTCTATGACAGTATCGTTCCCAGTCTTTCTATGACAGTATCGTTCCAAGTCTTTCTATGACAGTATCGTTCCAAGTCTTTCTATGACAGTATCGTTCCAAGTCTTTCTATGACAGTATCGTTCCAAGTCTTTCTATGACAGTATCGTTCCAAGTCTTTCTATGACAGTATCGTTCCAAGTCTTTTTGTGACAGTATCGTTCCAAGTCTTTCTATGACAGTATCGTTCCAAGTCTTTCTATGACAGTATCGTTTCAAGTCTTTCTATGACAGTATCGTTCCAAGTCTTTCTATGACAGTATCGTTCCAACTCTTTTTGTGACAGTATCGTTCCAAGTATTTCTATGACAGTATCGTTCCAAGTCTTTCTATGACAGTATCGTTCCAAGTCTTTCTATGACAGTATCGTTCCAAGTCTTTTTGTGACAGTATCGTTCCAAGTCTTTTTGTGACAGTATCGTTCCAAGTCTTTATATTATAGAATCGTTCCAAGCCTTTCTATGACAGTATCGTTCCAAGTGTTTCTATCACAGTATCGTTCCAAGTCTTTCTATGACAACATCGTCCCAAGCCTTTCTATGAAGGTATCGTTCAAAATCTTTCTATGACAGTATCGTTCCAAGTCTTTCTATGACAGTTCCGTTCTAAGTCTTTTTATGACAGTATCGTTCCAAGTCTTTCTATGATAGTATCGTTCCAAGTTTTTTGTATAACAGTATCGTTCCCAGTCTTTCTATGACAGTATCGTTCCCAGTCTTTCTATTACAGTTCCCTTCCAAGTCTTTTTGTTACAGTATCGTTCCAAGTCTTTCTATGACAGTATTGTTCCAAGTCTTTTTG